GGAGCCCGGACGTCCCCCGCAGCTGCCCGGGCGGCGTGTCCGGGGCTGCCTGCTGCCTCTCCGGCCACAGTGACAGCAGGGACCCCGGGGAGGGTCTCCAGTGGGGTAAATCCACACCACTCCGTTGGCTGAGGATCAACCCCCTCCTTTAAAAGCACCCCTTGCTCCTGGTGTTACCCAGGAACGTGCTGTAGGTTATCATGGAATCATAGAATGGTTAAAGTTGGAAGGGACCTTAAAGATCATCCAGTTCCAACCCCCCTGCCCTGGGCAGGGACACCTCCCACCAGCCCAGGTTGCTCCAAGCCCCCTCCAACCTGCCCTTGAACCCCTCCAGGGATGGGGCAGCCACAGCTTCTCTGGGCAACCTGTTCCAGTGCCTCACCACCCTCACAGCAAAGAATTTCTTCCTAATATCTAATCTAACTCTCCCCTCTTCCAATTTAAAACCGTTACCCCTTGTCCTGTCACTGCACTCCCTGACAAAGAGTCCCTCCCCAGCTCTCCTGGAGCTCCCTTCAGATACTGGGAGGCTGCTCTAAGGTCTCCCCGGAGCCTTCTCTTCTCCAGGCTGAACAACCCCAGCTCTCTCAGCCTGTCTTCACAGCAGAGGGGCTCCATCCCTCTGAGCATCTCCATGGCCCTCTGCTGGACCCATTCCAACAGGTCCATGTCCTTCCTGTGCTGAGGACTCCAGAGCTGGACACAGAGCTCCAGGTGGGGTGTCCCGAGCACCCTATTCCCTCTGTGTGTGCCTGCAGCAGCACTGCTCTTCCTGCTCCCAAACCAGGCTGGGCTGTTTTCCTTCCATCCCTCGGGCTGATCTCAGAGCTGCTCACCCCCCTGAGCTGCTAGGGGTGCTCAGAGATGCTTCCAGCCAACCCCTTCTTTAAAACCATCCTTTTTCTATTTTTCTCTCCAGGTTTTGGGCGTTGAGTCAGCCATCTGGCCGGCTTTCCAAGACGATGGTAAGATTTTCCTTGTCTTTGTGCTTGAAGCCCTGATGCTGCATCTCTTCACCACCTTTTGGCCGTGGTTGAACGACCCTCCCCAGTCCATGGCAAATGTGTCCCCCCCCGGCTCCTGCCAGATGTGCCACAGCTGGAGCAGACCCAGCCAGGCCCTGTGAAGCATCAACCCCCAGAGTGCAAGAAGGGTGTCTCCTCGGGTGTCACCTCGGGCACAAGTGATGGCCAACTCAGTCTTTGTCCCCAGGGGTTTTATTCCCTTAGACCCACAGCCCTCACTGCAGGCAGTGGTGGGTTCTCCTGGCACGCTCGCTGAGCATCCTGACCACCAGACATCCCATGAACATGGTCCCCTGGTCCTGCTCTCCCCGTGGGTCCTCCTGCACTCGTTGGCTCCTGTGTGGCTCATTTTGGATAAGCTGCTTTCCTGGTACCCAGCTCCCACCAGTGACCAGCTACAGGTTGGAGCGGCAGAAGGGAGCTTCTGGAACAACCGAGTCTCCGATGCCTTCGAGGAGGTTGTCCCACTGATGGAACTCCTCTTCCAGGTCTGCGTGGGGCAGAGATGGGGACGGGGTTACTACAGCCATTCTCAACCCAGCTCCAGGCGTGAAGGAGGAGCAGCCACCAGACCCCTTCGCTTTGTGCAATGGGATGGGAAGGACCAAACCCAAGCCCAGGGAGGCAATGGCCACCCCGCAGCCCCCTGCAATGGGGGGACCTCTTGTGCTCTCCCAAGCCCCCAGCCAACCTGTCCCCCACCCCATGCCGTACTGAGATGCCTCTGCAGGAAGGCCAGAGCCGCCCGGATGGTGATGTCCAGACCCTTGTAGGGGTCAAGGGTCCCCCTCGCGCTGAAGATGCGGCTGAGGAGCTTCCCAGTGAGAAAGGTGAAGTCGGTCTGGCTCTGGTGCACGGATCCCCTGGGACAGGGAAAAGGGATCTGCTTCAGAGGGAGCTGGGAAGAGGTCCTCCTGCTGGGACACAGCTCGTAGGTGCTCCCAGGAGGGTACCAGGGGGGTGGGTACCCCCAGGTCTTGACTCACAGAATGGTTATGATCTTTGTCTGGCTGTTTCTGGAGCTCAGCCTCTTCATTTTGGCAACGCTTTCCGGCGTCTGGAACTTCTCAGTGTTGATGAAGAGCACGGGTTTGGGCACCTCCGGGTAGAGCGCGTTCTCCAGGGGGAACATCCAGGCGTCCAGAGCCACCGCGCACCTGCAAGGGGACGGACACCCGGTGCTGCCACCCCCCCACACGGCTTCCCTTCCCACCAGGATGAGCCACGTGTCCCTGGAGCTTCCCGTGGCTCCTCATCCTTGCTGCTGCTCACCTGAAGCTGGGCTCTTTCACCAAGGCCAGCACTGCTGTCACCCCACCGAAGGAATGGCCCATGACGGCCACTTTGGTCAGATCAACGCTGCCCTGCAACAAGGAGAAGGCTGAGGAGCCTGTGCCCAAACCTTGCTGCAGAAGGTCCCTAATTAGGGGGAAAAAAAGCCAATGGAAGAAGATTAGCAAAGCAAGGGGTGCCCTGATTTCACCACCGGTGCCATGGGACTTGGCTGCCCCGGGGAGAAAAAGGAGAAGAGAGGCACCAAGAAGGTGAGACATGGGAGGTTGGGGCTCTGCACGGACCCTGCTTGTCCCAGGAGGAAAAGTCTCACTCAACAAGGACTGATCCTGCCAGCAAAGGGCACTTGGACCCCCCCCTCCTCTTCCATCGACCAAACGACCCCTCCGGCTGGTCCTTCAGCACAGACAGACCCAGGTACCTTCAGCGTGGAGAGATCGAAGTCCTGGTGAAGGACATTTTGGACAGATTGACCACCGTTGATGTCCTCGAAGAGCCGGAGCGCTCGCACACATTCCTCCGCTCTCTGATGGACCTGGGAGGGAGAGTTGCCCCTTCCCCGGTTAACCCAGCTCCTCCACCCCACAAATTTGGGGTTGGATCCTCCCCCTGACCTCCACCCGTCCACGTCCCTCCAAATCCACAGCATCCAGACCCCACGGGGCTTTCCCTGAATTACTACAAACGCCGAAGCCAGTGAGAGGCTGCACCACAGCGGCTCCCCCGGGGATGTGGGGAGTTTATTGCAATGGTTTCTCCTTTGGTTTGGTTTTAATTCAGTTAATCTGATAGCACAGACGGCTGGAGATGAGCAAAAGACCTCTGCTCTGGGGGAGAAGGAGCGGGATGTGCAGGGGAGGGAGAGCCCGGGTTCCTCACCAGCTGCCCCCCGGCCAAGGGGTGATGCCACCCCCACCGGTGTAAGCCCCCCACGGGCAGCACGGCCCCCCCCATCCCACCCCAAAAAGTGACAAAAAACTCAGATGAAAACCTCTCTCTGCTCCTCCCTGCTGCCTCTAACACAGAAGATGCCGCAACTGAGGCTGAACCTGGCAACCAATTGCCTCTATTTATAATACATTTCTCATTCACCCTCAATATTTACGCTCATGGGTTCCTCTTTAGAGGAAAACTGTGTCCCTTGTTTGTGTGATATGCCATGAGACGGAGCACACACCAAAATAAGAGGCTGGGAGGTGATTTAAGACTGCCATGAACTCCTCCAACCACTGAGTTTCCTAAACAGCTTTTCTACGCCAACTCTCGCCTCGATGTTGTCCTTTCAAACAGAGCAGAAAGGAGCAAAGAAAGGGGAAACTTGGCTCAGCGGGGAACCTTCCTGCTCCCCCAGCAAGCAGCTGTCCGGGGTAATCCCCCAGAGCCAAAAATCAGAGCGTGAACAAACCCAGCAGCAGGTGCGGAGCCTCGCCAGCCGGCGGCACCGGGCTGGGCAGAAAGCCCCTCTCTCCCCCGGGGTACGGGTGACATTAAGCATCCAGGGACACAGCAAAGCCCAGCCTGGCTCCTGCCAGGGTCAGCTGGAGCCAGAGAGACCCCCAGGAAACAGAGAGAAATGGGTCGAACAGATTTTTTTTTCAGCTCGCAAGGAGAAAGCTCAGTGCCACGACGATACGGGTCTGGGAAGGGCAGTGGATGAAGATTGGAGGGAAGGGGGGGGGCAACTCGGCTTGCAAGGAGGGATTTCACACCTCCTGGGCTGCCCACCCTTAACCCCCCTACCCTGGTACCTGCTTGTTTCGGAAATAAAACTCCTTCTGCCCTTGGGGCACTCGTTGGTAGGGGATCCACTCCTCTCCCCCTGCCTCCGCCGGGCAGAAATACGTCGCGGAGGCAGAATGGTCCCTGCAGAAGGGTGGGCAGCCGTGTCACGGGGGCACTGGCAGCCCCCCAGGGCCCTGCCAGCCCCATCCCTGCTGCCAAATTCGGCGGGGACCGGGGACACCCACCTGTGCTCCAGTGCTGTCACCACGAAACCCCAGGATGCCAGCTCCGAGCAGATGGAGGAGTAGAGGGTCCTGCCAGGGAGCCAGAGTTTGGGGAGCAGGGTCAGGGCTGCCCCGTCAATACAAGGCAGGTCTGAGCGGGGACACGGGGGTCCCAGGACACCCCCCTGTCCCCATCCCAGTTCTATCCCTGAGCTCATCCTACCGAAAGGCTCCCAGGCCATGGGAGAAGATGATCAGTGGGTACCCTCTGCTGCAGGGCTTGAAAGCTCCATTCCAGCTCACCGGCACCCTGCAGGAGCCTGTTGAGGGGGGTGAAACCCCCCCAAAAAAGCAGGGGGACACGGGCAGCTGGGTGCTGCAGCTTCTACAGGGTGTCCCTGCTCGGCTCCATCCCTGCCCGCAGCGCCAGGGATGGGCTTGGTGTCGTGAAACCCCACTAAGGGTCCCCAGGGGATGGGGGGGCACCTGGGGTGGGGGACGGGGTGCTGGCCGTCCCCTTACCGATGGTGGCATGGAGCAGGGGTGCACACCAGCGCCGGCTGTGCCCAGCAAAGTCAGCCAGGCCCCCACAGTACTCGTAACGTGGGATCCAGAGAGGGGGCTCAGCCCCTGCCCGGGGCAGGCAGGGGTAGAAGAGACGGAGGAAAAGCCCCTGGAGGAGAGAGGGGAAAATGGGGGGACACAGGGGGGACAGCACATGGTGGTGGCCGTTGTCCTGGGCGAGCTGAGCTCTTGCAAAACCCAACTGGCAGCTGCCACCCCTGCTGTGTGGACCCCCATCCCCGTACCTGCTGTGTGTGGCCCACCATGACGTCCGTGCAGCCCACCCAGTGGGGTCCCTTCCCCCGGGGCAGCGCCAGCGACTGCGTCCCCCCCATGGTGACAAGGCAGAGCCTAGATACAAGCATGAGGTCAGAGGCTGTCCCCTGCAAAGGGGACCCCAACTCGCTCCCTCCTCCTTCCCTCACCCCTCTCCCATTGCCCGGACCCCAGGAATCCCCCCCCCTCCCAGCACCCACCAGTAAATGCACTGGCAGCAAGAGGGGAAAAGAAGGTCCCAAATCCAATATTCACCCAGCTATGGGGCAGCTGTCCCTGTCCCCATCCCTGTCCCCCCCCTCCCCGGGGATGCTGAGGGCTGGGGGGAGGCAGCGTAGCCCAGGGGGTGGGCGAGCGAGGGGTCAGTGTGGGGCTGACAGGGCTGATGGCCCTGAGCACCCACGGGAGCCCTGAGGACACGGGGGGAAGGGGGGACAGAGCTCTGCACCCCCCCAGTGCAGAACTACAGCTCCCAGTAACCCCCGGAGCCTGGGAACCACAACTCCCAGTATAGCCCTGGGTTGGGACTACACCTCCCAGTATGCGCTGCGCCCCCGGACTACACCTCCCAGTATTCCCAGCTGGAACTACAGATCCCAGTGCTCCTGTATCGCCCTGCACTACAGCTCCCAGTGCCTCCCAGTGCCTCCCAGTGCTTCCCAGTGCACCCCAGTGCTCCCAGTATGGGCTCCCAGTGCCTCCCAGTGCCTCCCAGTGACTCCCAGTACGTCCCAGTGCAATCCAGTGTCATCCCAGTGCAACCCAGTGCCATCCCAGTATGTCCCCCTCCCCAGTCGTGTGTGTCCACCCCCCCCGCACCCACCAGTGCGCTGGGTCACAGCTCCCAGCAGGCACCAGTACGCCCTGCACTACAGCTCCCAGTACCACCCGTGACCGTGGACTACAGCTCCCAGTAGCCACCAGTACAGGACGCAGCTCCCAGTGTCCCCCAGTGCACAACCACAGCTCCCAGTGTCCCCCGTGAAAAATCACAGCTCCCAGTGCCACCAGTGGGAAAATCACAGCTCCCAGTGCCACCAGTGGGGAAATCACAGCTCCCAGTGCCACCAGCAGGGAAATCACAGCTCCCAGTGTCCCCCAGTGCAAAGCCACAGCTTCCAGTGCCCCCAGTGTAGAATCACAGCTCCCAGTGCCCCCAGTGGAGAAATCACAGCTCCCAGTAGCCACCAGTGCACAACCACAGCTCCCAGTGTCCCCCGTGAAAATCACCGCTCCCAGTGCCACCAGTGGGGAAATCACAGCTCCCAGTGCCGCCCAGTGCCAAGCCACAGCTTCCAGTTCCC